TATGATCTTGGGCGATCCATCCTCCCGATCACTTTGGCTGGAACCCATTCCGAAAACGGACTTGTCTGCACCTGAACTTCTTCTCCTACCTGCAAGTCTCTGAGAGGTTTTGTCCTTCTGTCATAATAACCCTTGCTCCTTTTCTGCCTCTCTTGAAGTATCTTCTTTATCTCACTTTCCTTTACCACCTTTGATTGTAAATGACTATTAGTTAGGGGCAAGACTCCTCTCAGGCGTCTACTCATCAGTAGTTCAGCAGGGGAGGGCATATCTGCAAATGGTGAATTATTTAATTCGAGCAAGCACAGAAAAGATCAGTTCAAGCTTCTAGTGATTTCTTAAGCATCCTTTTAATGGTTTGTATATGACGTTCTACTAATCCATTTGCCTGTTGATGCTTTGGGCTGACCATGCTACTTTTGAAATCCCACTGCTTTGCAAATTCAAAAAATGCAGAACTACTAAATTGTGATCCTTGATCTGTGATTACCTCACAAGGAATTCCATGTCTTGAAAAAATTTGTTTTAGAGATTTGATAAGACAGCTAGCAGCCAAGTCCTCAAGCATAGATACCTCACAGAATTTAGAATAGTAATCCACAACAATTAAATATTTCAAGCCCTGCAACTCCATGGTCCTTCTGCTACCTCCTGCAACACCATAGGCTCCTTGCATTGGGAATTGGCATATTTTTGACATATCTCACAATGTTTTACCATATTTTTAATGTCATTTTTCATGTTTGGCCAATAAAGAAGTCCTTTAGCTTTAGCACAACATTTTGTCATCCCTTGGTGAGCATAATGTATTTTCCTTAACATGTCCATCCTTAAGGACTTAGGTACTACTATCTGACATCCTTTGAAGATAATTCCATCACAAAATGTCAGTTCGTCCTTAACCGACTCATATCTTCCAAGCAACGGATCTTTAGTTTTGGGACATCCTTCATCTATCCACCCGCGTACTGCTTTCAGTTCTTCATCTTTTTCTGTTTCTTTGCGAACAATGTCACATTTTTCATCAGAAATTGGCATGTTCTTAATCAAACCAATGACAAATGCTTCTTTTTCTTCCTCTTGTTTAGATTTTCCAACACTTGCTCTTGACAGGGTATCAGCAACCCACATTTCCTTTCCCGGTTTGTAAATTAATTCAAATTCATATCTTTGTAATTTTAATAACATATTCTTTTATTTCAACTTAGGAGGGCATAGATGAATAGGCTTTTTGTAGATCATTCCTAAGGGCTTATGGTCCGATTCAACCTTAAAAGGGTGACCATAACTATGGCTATAGAAATGCTCACATCCAAAGACAATAGCCAACATTTCCTTCTCAATGTTAGCCTATCTTTTTTCAGTTTCAGTTAAACTTCTTGAAGCATATGCAAGTGGCTAACCATCTTGCATTAAAACTGCTCCTAGACTGTCCCGTGAAGCATCTACAGACACAGTTACTGGTAAACCAGGATCATAATATCTAAGGACAGGTTCAGTAGTTAAAGCCAGTTTCAGAGCCTGAAAGGATGTCTGTTGGTTCTCCTCCCAATGCCATTCTACCTCTTTTTGCAATAAAAGGCGTAAAGGAGCTGTAATTTGTGCTAAATTTTTAATAAATTTTCCTAGGTAGTTCACTAAACCTAAAAATCTTTCCAGTTCTTTTCTGGATTCAGGAGAAGCCATACCCTCTATGGCTGTTAACTTGTCTTTATCTGGCTGTATTCCCCTTTCAGACAAACGATGATCCATGTACACTACTTCTTTTACTCCAAACATACACTTATTCTCTTGAAATTTAACATTCTCTTCTCTCGCTCTGTCTAGAACAGCCTTCAACTTAGCATCGTGCTCTTCTCTGGTACAACCCCACACCAGTATATCATCCACAAAAACCTCACAACCATCCAAATCTCCAAAAATTTTCTTTAGTCGAGTGGAAAATTTCTGGGGCACAACTTATTCCAAAGGGAAGACGCAAAAACTTATACCTTCCCCAAGTTGTATTAAAAGTGCATAGATCTGCGCTCTCCTTATCCAGTGCTATTTGCCAAAAACCCGACATTGCATCTAATTTACTAAAATATTTCGCATTTGACAACTGACTTACTATTTCTTCAATAGTAGGGAGAGGAAAGTGACATCGCTTTATGGCCCTATTCAAATCTTTCGGATCCAAGCACAGTCGGATATCTCCATTGGACTTATAGGCCACCACTAAAGAGTTAACCCAACTTGTTGGATAATCTACCTTAGCAACTATTCCTTTGTTTTCTAAACTTTTTAGGATTTTCCTGACTCTATCCCTTAAAGGAACTGGTATTCTTCTAGGTGGATGCACTACTGGTTCCACATTCTGATCAACCTGAATGTGTACATTGCCCTTTAATTTTCTGATCTCCTTAAAAAGGTCAGTATAATGAACTTTTAACCTTTCTAAGTCTATTATATTCACTCTACTAACCAATTCTAACTCTACATATCCTGCCAGTCCAAGCAATGGTGATGCATATGGTGTGCTCACTACTTCAAATGTTAAATGATATTCCTTATTTTTATAAGAGCAAAGCAAAGTACACTTACCAACTACAAGCAAACGTTCACCAGAGTAAGTAGTGAGATTTTTCGTGGAGGGCTCCACTTGGACTCCAAGTTGATGAGCCACTCGTTCAGGTAACACATTCACATGTGCACCAGTATCCAATTTAAAAGTCACCTTCTGTCCACAAAGCAGCAACTTAGCCTTCCACTCTCTTTCAAAATTATTCCCTCTTACCATATTAATAAAAAAGTCATCATCCTCAGACGGGTATTCTTCTTGAATCTCTTTAACCACCCTTGGATTGGTTACACTCCTTCTACATTGGGAAGCAAAGTGATTAAGCCCTCTACATCTTCTAGATGTCTGTCTGTAAGCAGGACATTTTCCTGTGGGATGTTCGAACCCACAATACCTGCATTTTTATAATCTTGTGAGCTGAAGGCTCCCCTTGGCTTACACTCTTCCTGTCACTTCTGGTATAGTGTACGTCCATAGCTCCAGACATTTCCTCACCTTGTTACCTAATTGCTACCATTAATTGGCACTGTTCCAGGACCTTATCCATAGTTAAATTCCGTTCCCTCAATAACCTTTCTCTCATTGAACAATCTTTAATGCCTGAAATAAAGCGTGCCACTAATAACCCATAAACCACTAATAAACTGTCCAAATATCCCTTAACCTGACTGTATAATCACTATACGTTTCCCTTTCTAACTGTGAACAACCAAAAAACTTATATCTTACATAAATAATATTCTTCTGAGGAATGAAGTAGTCATCCAGGTGCTTAATTATGTCTTTTAGCGTTTCTAACTTAATAGGCAAACTATTCAAAATTTTTATTATTTTTTCTCCTACTAAATGTTTAAAAATAGCACGCTTACGTTTTTCTTCATAATTATTCCCCCCTATTGCTTCAATATAAATTTTGTATCTACCTTTAAATTCAGTCCACTCTTGAGCAGGATCACCATTCCAATCCATGGATCTTGGGGTTTGCATAAACGATTCCATTATTGTTATCCCAACTATTTTAGTCTGTAATATTATCCTTAGTTCGTCCGCAGCGCCATGTTGTATGTCTTTATTTAAATAATAATCACTAGAAGATTATTAACATGTTAATTTAAGATTATTACACATGTTTTATTAACAAGCTTACACATCTAGATTCATATAACCTCACATCCTGTTATCTTTACTTACAGTACTACCATATATACATAACCTTATTTTACATATCTTAACACTATGATTCATATCTAATTTAATATCAACACAATAACTGTGACTCTGCTGTTAGAGCGCATCCTTTCTTTACCTCTGCAATTAGTTCTATTGGTGGTTATCTAGCGATCACACTGTTTCATATGAAACTGTGCGGAATGCGCAGATCACTCTTAAGGCGCTTCGACGGTAGACGGACACCAGTGGTCTTCTATAATTCGTAGTATTGATGTAACCACGCTTGATACCAACAACCTACGGCTGTGCCTGGGTCCTCCATTATTTGACATCAGTCGGGAGAGAGCTGTGGGGTCACCCTAGACACCTTTTCGCTCACTCACTGGATATGTTCCTTGAACCTGAGCCTTTTATCGATTCTCATCATGATATATGTGAGGATGGCTTAGACCTTATCTCCTATCTTCCCACAGTCAGCATAATCTCCTCTCACTTTTCTCCACTACTAATCAGAAGATGCTCTTCGGCTTTTCTTTTGTTATTTATGGATTCCTTTAGAGACATTTATGCCACTGGCTATTGGACTTGGTCTGATGTCCTGCCTCTTGTAGGAGCCTTCGTGTTTACTTTAGAAGCAGCTTGTTCTTCCTTCTACCATTCCTCTCTTGCGGAGCATATTAACCTGCTTCTCTTTGGATAGGTGGTTCTCTGGCTTTAATGTCTTGAGTACCCACGGTGGTCCTATCCTTTGTTTCCTGCATAATCAAACAATTTCATTCCAAGCGATCTAAGGTATTGCTGGATTTTGCTGACATAATTTCTCAATTCACCGTTGACATTTTGTCTTCGCTGGATGTGGTCTTCAAGCTTCATAATTTCCTCCACAAGATTTTTCCAATCTTTCTCACATAATTTTAGATTCATATCACATAATGAAAATCTGCAGCGGTAGCATGATGACGATGTCTGGTGTGAGTGGGAGGGAGAGGCTTGTAGTATAAAAATAGTTAAGTGCCATGGCATTGACTTAATGCAATAATGGCATTAAGTCAACACTGCCTGAAATTGTCTTAATCAACTTTTTTGATCGAGCACTTCTATTCTCTCATAACTATGTCTGTCGATGACTTAGAAATACAGAAACTTATAACAGAAATCCACAAAAATATTTTAGTGGACAGCTTAATTAGAAATTTAATTTTGTGTATATTTGCTTTTTTGTTTTCATTTTTATTTTTCAAATTTCAATATCTTAATAACTTGAACCTCGCTAAACAACAGAAGATAGAGGCCAGTTGTGGCCTATGTGCTCATAGTCCGTGTGGTACATCCCGGGTATAGACATTACCTCTCCCTTCGTTAGCGGTTTGTATTTAATTGTTGAGCACACTTGCACCTTCTTGTGGGCTAGCTCGTCCAATGGCAGTTTGTAGTTTTCTTGTGCTTCACTCAGCATACTCCTAAAACATTAGCATTTTAATTTTATAATATAATATGAAATGGGTAGAGACAATAGTACAGTTGATTTCTGGATTTGGAATCATTCAAACTGATGTATTTTAAAAGAGGAAAGAGGTGGGGAAAATTTGGAGCTGAATAAAACAAATTTAGGCTGAAAATTCTAACTATTCCTTGAAAACAGTTCAATACCCACAATTAATATTCATGTCTAAAGTATTGTTTTAGTTAAAATCATTGCTAATTTTCTTTTATTACTTATTGTAAATTTATATTATTTTAATCTCATGTCATGCTTTTTTTTAATTGGTATTAATTGTTTGCTAATTTATTTTACAATTATTTTCATATTTCCTTATCGTATTTTTATACTTTTTAAGAAAATATTTTCATTTATCAAATATTGTTAGTTATGATTTTTGTATAGAACTACCTACTATTTTTATTTGTTACTAATTAGAAGTTATTATTACTTTGATATTTTAGTTCTTAAAAGTGATTGAATATCTCATTTTTAACCATTAATAAATATATATTTATAGTTATTGTTTAACACATATTGTCTTTTTTTAGTTCAGAACTTTTTGTAAGTACATTAGTGTAAATTAACGTTTTAGCTGTGTTATTGCAAATTTAGAGATTTTTGCAGCATATTTTATGTTTTACTACTGTACATTTTATTTGATTATATTTATACTGTACATTTATTATATTTAATGAGCTTTTAATATACATTTTGTGACTTTTTACTGTATAAAAATCAGGGATCTACTCTTGACTAGCAAGGCTTAAACCATGTCGAGAAGCCCACTCTCCACAGTTTGGTAGCAAATGACCATTGTGGCATGGGTATTTCATAAAGAATTTCATTGGCAATGCCCATATAGTACAGAATGTGAAGTGGGGCTACTTGTTTGTTACATTTGCCGTATATCTTTTTTCCTTCCAAAATTTTTATATTCTTACTTAGTTTTGGTTTTAACCTTGGAATGGCTGTTTGCACAGTTGCTGAAAGCTGGAATGGTTTCTGTTTGTCAGACTGTACAATGCATGAATGGTTAGGAAGGATTTTTGTACAAAAGTTTGTCTGTTTAGTGAGTGAAAATGAGGAGGTTTATTATTTCTTTTTTATCTGTTTCTTCATTTTGATGACTACCTGAGTAGATATCTATATATATATATATATATATTTTTTTTTTTTTTTTTTTTTTTTTTTTTTGCCGATATGTGATTATCTCTTTATTTATTCAAAATATTTCGTTCCTCTTTCTCTTTTATTTTTGTTCTCAATATACATTGATAGCAATATAGGTAAATATCTTCTGGCCCAAATAAATTTGTTGGTTCACATTGGTGTTTAGTTTTATTATACAATATGAAATGTATCAATAGATAATGTTTGGATTTGAATTAATTTTGATCTATTTTTTCTCAAGGCAATAAAGTTGAAAAAAATAGAGGATTAAAACTAACATGCAGTCAGTGTCACACCTAAAAATATAATTGAAAGAAGTTTATATTTTAAAGTTATGCAATAATTTAATTCTGAAGAATTTAAAAAGAATGTAATGCAGGGACATAACAACCAGCTAATAGTATGAATAGCTACTGCCACTAAGTCTGACACCACAAGGTGAAAAGGTCGTGGATGAGAGACCTGTAAATTAATTTTATTATTGGCTAAAATGCCACAGAAGAGGTTCTGCTGAGTATTTTTTTTTCCTTGTCTCTGACATGCCATTATTATTTATTAATAATTTTTACATGCAATCCACTGATTTCCAATCCTGTATTAGACTAGTGTGTAATGTAAATGAAGTGCCAGGTCTAGTGTATAAATTAAGTTAAATAATAAATAATTGGAAAAATCATATAAATAATAAACAAAAACTGATACTTGAAAACATTTAAAAACAAATTATACGATTTATAAACAATTTTATCCTTGAGTCATAAAAATGACTTTCTCTTTTGCATTTATAATTTGCAGGCATCACAAGGCGAGCTGTAATTACTATCTTATAATTAGATTAATTATATCCCTCTAAATACAATCCTTTGGTACAGACTATTATTATATTATTTTAGTTAAACTATTTCTATTGTATTTAGTTGTGCAATATTATTTATAAAGAAATATGTAATAATTAATAAAAAGTCAATGAGTCACATAGATGAATAAAAGAGAAAACTGCTATAATGAAATATTATATTATTTAAGTAATTTTATATTTGTAATTCATCGTGTTCGTTTTACTTTTTAAATCACAAAAGTTATTTGATTTTTCTAATGTTTTTTATTTTATTTTATTAGATCGTAAGGTGTCTTGTTATTTATTTAAATTATGTAAGAAGAGAAAATATTGTAATTCCTGAATAAAATCTATTAACTTGATTGAGTTCTTTTTTTTTTTTTTTTTTTTTATTGCACATCAATCATTTTCCTAAATCTTGTCTTTTGACAAACAGTGATAAGATAATGCTGTATTATTCATCCCCAGAAGTTTGTTGTTTGTTTTTTGCTAGAAGTCATCAAATAACCTTTTATACATTATTAAATTAGTAAATCAGTCTGTGATTCGATGAATTTTGTCACTGTGAAATAAAAACATTGTGCACTTACTGCTAAATATTTTTAATACATAACACGGTTTGTGTTATAATGCATCAATAAGATGAGTTTTTCATTGATAAATATTATTGAAACCCATAAATATGAATTTTAAAGTTAGGCTCCATCAAAAATATATTTAGTGACTTTTGCAAGAAGCCAAAAATTTGTTTGAATGGTTGAGTAGCATATTAAGTAATTACTAGCTGACCCGTGTCTGTAATTTAATATATTTGTATCTCATTTTAATACATTAAGGGTTCAGCACACGGGTTTTAAGTCTGGAATTGAACTCATGCCCACGTCCCCTGGCCCAGATAATAAAAACTCCTGTACAGCCTAAAAGGCGAGGTAAGCATATTGGCAAACATTCCAAAAAGTGTTTAAAGGAAGACAAATTTATAGAAAAAAAGTTATTTAATTAATTTAAAAAATTAAATGTTTTGAGATTAAATTAAATAATTACTGATTGATACACTATTTATTGTATGTATACACATTGTATATTATATAGCTGTATATTAAAAAGCTTCTAAACATTGCTTTAAACATCTATTGATGGCAAAAGACAAAAAGGCTCAAATTCTCAGGGAGGAATTGTTAGTCCAAACAGAATGTATATTAGATTTTAAAAAATTTGAAAGTGTATTTTTGAAATGATAAACTCAATAAAGATCAAAAACTAAAAGCTAAAGTAATTGAAGCACATTGAAAAACATTCCAAGAAGTGTTTAAAGGAACGCACATTTATATAAATAAAAATAAAATTAATAATTTTCATTACACCTGTTTGACCATTGTTCTTTTTAGTGGTTCATTTGCCTATTCATCATATATAAATTAATCAAAAATTGATTGCTAACTGCATTTTTATGTTTCGAGGAAACTCTGTCCTCCTCCTCAGCAATATATTTTTTACCCAAGAAAATGGATCAGTCACAAAATTAAATTCAACAGGATTGATCAATGGTACTTAACTTGACCTTCTTGGTGAAAATAATTGCTGAGGAGGACTTTCCTCGCAACGTTCAAATAAAGTTTGCAATCAAGGAAGAACACCCTATTAAGGTGATATATAAAATTCACTTTGGGCAGGCCTTTCTTCTTTTACTCTCCATACTCTAAATATTATTTTTTTTTAATGACACAGTATATCTATGTTGTATCTTATATAATAAACCGCTGTTGCAATTTGATATGACTGCCATTAATGATAATCATTAATAGTATATATCAATAATCATAACCATGAGTATATTTACTATATTGTTGAACGATTTTTAAATATACCTCTGAAGTATTTGGATTGAGACCGTTAATTATTTTTACAATTAGTCTCTTTCGAGAAGAAGAGGGTCCTCCAGCAGGATGCATTAGAAGAGTGGAACAGTCTGTGGTTGAAAATTTCATAACAGGTTACCGCCTTAAGGAGGCAATTTTAAGCGACTTTGGTCCTCCCAGACTACTGAATCTTACAGATTTTCAGGAACCATGGAGGTTTCGGAGGGAGCAAAACTCGTTGAGGATGGTGTAAACATGGAACGAAGAAAAATGCTCTTGTTGAGGGGTTCCAAAGACCAGTAGCGTAATCCAGGATTTAATTTTTGGCGGTACGGACTTTTTTTTAAATAGCTGTAATTACCATAGAAGAAAAAAACAATTTGTGAAATGGTGTTTAAGTGGTACTTTTTTTTCCCTCACCTTTTAGACTACACGGGGTTTTCCCAGGCGGGGGTTGAGGGAGTGGAATTTAAAATTCATTTCGACACCGGTACGCGAATCACTTAAACACCATGGCATATAGGTAGTTAGTTTCTTTCTTTTTTTTTCAAATTAATTATAGGTATATATATAAAAAAAAAAAAAGTTTCGGGCTGAAGCCACCCAAAATTAAATCCTGGATCCGCTAATGATAGTTTAAGAGATAAATTTCCTACACTTTTTTTCTGTTCACGTGCTAATATTTTGTAGCTCTACATGCATTATAAAACTGAAAGAGAATACATCGTGATTGTTGAAGTATTCAGCTTAGCTCATCCACATAAATAAATATATAGACGAATGAAATAAAATATATATTCTGTATTTTTTGGGATGAGGGCTTTTCATCCCAGAACAGCCAATTTCGAAATTGTTGTTAAATATTTTACTCATATACAGCTGTTGATGTTAAATAAGGTGAAAGGTTAATTTAGTTTTGTCTTCCAAAAAATGTGTTAATTAAGTGTAAATACTTAATTTTTGTGTAATAATAGTGTTTTATCAAGACAAGATTGCTAAGCACAAAACACCAAACAAAAATTGAGCGGATTTCACCACCAACAATGGTGGAATCATCTCAAACTGAGGTAAGTAACATGAACTTTAAAAACAGTGATATAAACAATGAAGACGGCTCCTGGGAACTGGTTATTGGTCGTAAAAGACCGATGATAGATTCGAGCGAGCCAAGAGCTCAAAAACGACCGACAGAATCTATCCCAACCTCGAACAGTTTTCAGGTTCTAACCAACATAACTAATTTACAAACAGAAAAAGTTAGAAGAACGCCTCAAAACGATAAAACTCCACCAATTTTTATAAACGGTGTTGAGAATTACCATGCATTAATCTCATTTCTAGAAAACGGAACGGGTCCTAATATGTTTAAAACGAAGTCTACATTGAAAGGTGTCACTGTGTACCCAGAAAATCCTGACGTTTATCGAAAATTAAATTCTAGCCTGCGAAATAAAGGTGCTTCCATACATACAAGGTAAGACTTCCATACTTACCAACTTCCACAGGACAAATGTCCAAGAATTGTTGTTAAACATCTTCACCATGGAACACCAGTCGATATCATTAAAGAAGAATTTAAAAAATTGTGTTACGAAGCCACCAATGTAGTTAACGTCATATCTCGATTTAAAAAACCCCTTCCTATGTTCTTTGTGTACATTACAAAAGAGACATTTAGAGAAGAAATTTTTAATGTTGAATTTCTATATTATTCACATATTAAAATTGAGGAACCGCGTCAAAAGAGAAATATTCCTCAGTGTGTTCGGTGCCAGCAATATGGGCACACTAAAACTTATTGCAACCATCGACCACGATGCGTAAATTGCGGTGAATATCATGAAACCAGCTCATGTTTGAAAACCAGAGACACTCCCGCGAAATGCGCCAACTGTGCCGGTCAGCACCCCGCTAATTACAGAGGCTGCCAGACGCTGACCTCAGGGTTCAGCGCAATGCAAGAAATCGTCTTCAGCGTTCCACAGTAGCAGAGCCAGCGCAGGGACCTCCAGGCATGCATGAATTCCCCCCAATGCGGCAACGTCACAACCAAGGGGAACCACAGATCATCGCAGGACCTCCGCAACAACAAAATCAAACATCATCTAGTTCAGCACCCCCGAACCAGAAAACATGTACAGGTACGAGGAGAGGCATTACCCAACCGATACCTCCGGTAGATAATGGCTCTTTCCAATTATTTAATAAAATTAATGGATTAAATAACCTAATCCAGCCCCTTTTCATTCTTCTTCAACAACTGTCACAGGTTACACGGGTCTGGTGCCCAAATTATGGCCCACAATAATTTAACTGTAGGCTCCTTGTCAGTTCTTCTATGGAATGCCAACGGACTGAAACAGCACAGTACTGAACTCGACTTATACTTGCACGAAAAACGGATCGACGTAGCACTCATTACAGAAACACACCTGACATCTCGATCAAAAATTTACATTCAGGATTACACAATTTATAGAACTGATCACCCAGATAAAACCGCACATGGAGGAACAGCTATACTCGTTAAAAATTCACTGAAACACAATCCCGTAGACTTACCCATTACACCCGACATCCAATCGACAGGAATAACACTATACACTAAACACTACACTATAACATTTGCCTCAGTTTACTGTCCCCCTAGGTACAAGCTTACACCCACGATGTTTTCTGAGTTCTTCAAACGCCTCGGAAGATGCTTCATCGCAGGTGGAGACTATAATGCTAAGCATCAAGGCTGGGGTTCAAGGTTGTCTACTCCAAGAGGCAGAAATCTCTGGTCTGTTCTCCATGAACTTTCATTAGACACTGTAACTGCAAATTCACCAACTTATTGGCCCACCTCCAGACGCAAAACTCCTGACTTACTTGATTTCTTTATTACAAAAGGACTAAGAACCGTACCATTTGACGTCAATACAAGCTCTGATCTTTGTTCTGATCATTCCTCAGTGCACATGGTTCTATTCGATGCGCCTTCCGAAGCACAAAAAAGACCTAGGCTCATAAAAGGCTGCATGGACTGGGACGCATATAGAGACCATTTGAACACCAATCTTTCTGTTCCAGGTTCAATTAAAAATCATGAGGAATTAGAAGAAGCTGATGAAAAATTCACAAAAAGCATACAAGATGCAGCATGGGCCTCATCAACATCCAGGCCACAAAAAGCAGCGAACTTGCCCCATTATCCTATGTACATAAGGGACTTGATCAGAGCAAAGAGAAAAGCACGTAAAGTATGGCAGACTAATAGAATTCCTTCAGACAGACAAACTTTTAACAGATTGAACAACGAACTCAAAAGACATATTCAAAAATTCAAAAGCACAAACTACGACAATTTTATTAACAACCTTTCGACGGACGATGGAAGTTTATGGAGACATACAAGGAATCTTTTAAAGCATCGTGAGTTGTCAGCACCCCTACGAAGAGAGGATGGTTCTTGGGCTGTTTCGGACGAGGAAAGATCTGAACTCTTTGCTAACCACCTGTCCACTGTTTTCAAACCACATACAGACTTAATTAATACAGAACACGATATTTTTGTACATAATAACTTAGACATACCGTTACAGCTCACACTACCACCACCTCCTTTCACACCATCACAAGTTGCACAAGAAATTAGACAATTGCCCAAAAGAAAAACCCCTGGTCATGACTTGATAACTGCTGAGGCGCTCCAGCAAATGCCAAGGAAAGCTCTAGTGTTTCTTACCACAATCTTCAATTGCATTCTCAGGACCACCAAATTTCCTATACAATGGAAATACTCACACATAACCATGATTAAAAAGCCAGACAAAGACACTAACAATCCTTCTTCATATCGACCGATTAGTTTACTTCCAGTATGTTCTAAGTTATTCGAAAAACTATTGTATCCACGACTATTACATATACTAACAGACAGACAGATTATTCCTGACCATCAATTCGGGTTTCGAAAATTACATTCAACAACACAACAATTACACAGGGTAACTGACTACATATCGACAGCACTAGAGCGAAAACTATATGCAACTGGAGTATTTCTGGATGTCGCCCAAGCGTTTGACAAAGTATGGCATCAGGGGCTTCTCTTCAAGCTTAAGACCATACTTCCACATACTTACTACTTAATTCTCCATTCCTTTCTCTCAGATAGATTTTTCTCCGTTCGACATGGTCAAGGTCTATCCTCAATTCGATCAGTTTTAGCTGGCGTACCTCAGAGATCAATCCTGGCCCCACTACTGTAATCACATACACACACGACATTCCTCAAAGTATCCACACTCTTACAGCAACCTACGCAGACGGCACTGCTATCATTACCAGGCACGACAATCCTACAGAAGCATCACTTAACTTACAATATCACTTACAGATTATACTCGATTGGTGTAAACTTTGGAAAAATCAAATAAATTATCAAAAGTCACAGCATATCACATTTACTCTAAGACCAGAAACATGCCCTCCTGTATACTTAGACAATGTACCGATACCACAAACAGACAGAGTACAATACTTAGGCCTTACGTTCGATAGGAGAATGACATGGTGTCCACATGTGAAGAAAAAACGAATCACATTAAATCTAGGACTAAAATTGTAACATTCACTGTTAAGACGACATTCCAAATTAAAAGCAAGACAGAAACTAAGTATTTACACATATCTTTTAAAACCTCTTTGGACTTACGGACTACAAATATACGGAATTGCAAAGCCAACTCACATAAAAAAACTTCAAACTTTTCAGTCGAAGATACTACGATTAATCACTCAAGCACCATGGTACGTAAACAACCACACTTTACACACCGACTTACACGTTCCGACAGTCAACGAACACATACGAACGTACTACAAACGATTTCATAACATGTTAAACGGGCACTCCAACCAGCTGGTAAAAGAAATGGCCACAACTAGTATGTCCGAGAACTCCAGAAGACGACTGAAAAGGGTCTGGACGAGGGATCTGCTAAAATAATGTTTTAATAAATAAAAGCCATGGAAGGGATACCGCTGGGTATTGCTATTCCTCATGCCTATCAAGCCTTTTTTATTTATTTATTATTATTTTTTTTTCTCTTATTACTACGCCAGCACATCTACTGATTGTCAATCATAATTGACAGGTGCGGATAGATATATGTAAGTCCAAAAAAAAAAATATATATATTTTACTCAAAGTATTATTACAATTTAAATACCAATAGATTAAATTTAAGCTTAAAAATTGATAATTTATCGAAACTATGTTATGATTAAATAAAAAAGAAAATTATTGCCATGTCCCAGCATTATCAATTGATAAGGGAAATGTTCTAATCCAAAATTGTTGGGGAAATCAAAATATTTTTAAAAGAAATAAATATAAGAAGTAAAAAAAAATATCGTAGTAAATTACAAACCCTACCTATGTGGAACAAGGGGTGCCGTCTTTCTCACAATTCTGTCCATGAATTTTTTTCCTAAGTAACTTTCGTCATATATAGGTTTCTTTTGAAAAATTTGTACTGGCACAGCATCCTTGTGTTTATACCTTCTACGAGCATCCTTTAACAGATCAATGAATAATTTAAAATATTAAGCAACTATTATTAAATTTACAAGTAACAAAGTAAATAACGAACCGCATCATAGTAGACGTAATCACTTTGCATTGTTGTGAGGTAAGGGTCCATTAATTTCTGGATGCAATTTATATTAGAGGGTGTCTTATCCAGCGCCTCTCTTCCTGGGCAATACATCTGGAATCATATCCATCTTAAAATTATTTTTTGAAATTTTTGTTCTCAAAATTGAACCTGAATAAATTGTCCCTTAAAAATGATTCTAGTGATAATAATTTCAATAAAACTATTAACTGAAATCTAACATTATTTTAATTGAATTCATGTAGATTGGGTCCGGGAATAGACAATCGCTTGTACGAACTCGAACAACATTAGGCAGGTCACTGACTTCTGTTTTAGGTTTTCCGCAACACTATCGGGGTTGTAGAGATGCACAAATCCTCAAAAATTCGGCAAACAACACAACAAATGGTGGGTATGGTGGAAAAAAAATCCATAGTTTCCAGAGGCACTAACTCAATGTTCACAAAACATTTCATCTCTTACTTAATTCGAAGGGACTGTAGTGGCCGCAAAACTTTAAAAACGGAAAATCGGAGAAAAATACCTACATTTTGACGAAAGTCACCTAAACCTATATTTGTATTGTTCTACGTAGAAGGCAATCCTACATAACAAATTTCAGCTCATGTGACCCAAAAGGAGCTACTAGCGGATCCTGGATTTAATTTTAGGGGGGGGAGGGGCTTCAGCCCGAAAGATTTTATTTTTCATATATACAACAATAATTAATTTGGAAAAAAAAAGAAAGAAATTAACTATCTATATGCCATGGTGTTTTAGTGATTCTTGAAGTCCTATTAAATGTAATTACACGAATAATAAAACTTTAAGAGATAGTTTTTAATATTTTTTTCTATAAAACATGGTTATAATTTACCGTTTTTGGGGGAGGGGGCTTCAGCCCGAAAGCCCCCTCCCCCCGTAGATCCGCCTGTGACTAGAGCTATAGAGGACAAAAGAAATGCATATATATAGCGGGTTTTCCCTCCGAGGAGGGGAAGGGTTTATATTATATATCAAATATCTTCAAAACCAAGACTATCGTATTTATCACACAATTATCTTCTCATGGTTGACTTTCAACCATTTCTATATAAAATGATATCGAGTGTATTTTTTTGTCTATTTTTGGAAGCTTTAATTTTTATTATAATTAAATTCTGGTCTGTTAACCTCTCCAACGTCCAACATGTCAAGACATTGCATTAGTTGACTTGGCGTCATCGACGCTTATGTATATAACAAAACCATGTGCTTACTTGACATGTAACACGAGGTCTCATGTCATTGAGTCTTCCAGTTCCTTCTGCTGTCGTTGGCCATGTGTAATTATATTTCATTTCGCTCTGCTGTTGATCCATTTTGCCCGGAGGAAAAGTTCTCAGCTGAAATAAAAGAGGACTAAAAATTTTATGTTTTTATTTAGTTAATCATAACAGTTATTAAATGTAATTAATGAAGAGAAGAATAGTTGGGGTGCTCAGTCAAAAAAGGAAGGCAAAAAATAAATTATAATATTTATTTTTTACATATGCCGACGTTTCGACCTGAAGTTCAGGCCATCATCAGGGCTAAGAAAATAACCAGATAACAAGGTATGAGAAACTTAAGTAATGATGGTAAAAAAGATAATAAAAAATGAGAAAATAAAATAGATTAGATCTAGATAAAATAGATCTAAATAAAAGAAAAATAAAATAGATAGATATAAAGTAAAATGAAATTGTTAGAATAATGACTAAGAACTAAGAGATAAATAATACAGACTGTTACATAGTGTGGAATGATGAAGTAGGCATAATCAAAAAGGGAGTGACAAAAGTGTTACATTGGGAATCTTAGAATAAAATGTAAAAACATAAAAAAGAAATATAAAGTTATATAAGAAATGAGAATAAAATAAATAGTAAAATTAAAAACATTGAGAATGGAGTAGTTAGATAGAAAATTGAGATATTGTAAAGTCTATCAAGATGTACAGACAATGTATAATATAATAGAGAGTTAACAACAGAGAAAAGGAATGAAAGGAAGGAGGGAAGAAATTGAGAAAGCTGAAATAAGAAATAAATAAAAGAAGTACTACCTTTCTCCTTAAGTGTCAAGGTGAGAATAAAGTCGTTACAAAGAAGGTGGAGAGAGAAGGGATGTGGAGGTGGCGTCATCTGTAACGGTTATCGGACGAAGTTTGAACTAGAAGAATGCTAGAAGCCTAAATAGGTACGAGAGATATATTATGTAGAAAAATTATGGAATATTGAACGAAAGTTAATAGAAAGTGAAAGAAAAATTCAAAAGAAAAATAACTATTGAGTAATAAGGAAGAAAGATTGAAATAAAAATATACCATATATACATAAATGTACATATATATATACACACACATACATACATATTACACGCATATATATATATATATATATATATATATATATATATATAATATATATATAATATATATATATATATATATTTATATACATAAGGGAGTTGTCAGCAAAAAGGAAAGGAATATAACTATGAATGTTTTAATAAATTCAGAATTTGGGTATAGGTTAGAGAAAAGTTATTTTTGTCAGATTTAAGATTCACTGTCTTTGGTTGAAGCTGGATGTGGAGGGTTTCAGAAATGAGTCGTTTGTCATGGTTGAGAACAGTGGCAAGGATGGATGTTTTGTCGAAATCAAATGAATGATTGAGGGAGAGAGAATGTTCGGATAATTTGGAAGCGGTGAAATTACGAGAGGATACAGAATATTTATGTTGGGTTATGCGGTCTTATGGGTATGTTTTATTTACAAACATACCCATAGACAAGGCACTTACTATAATAGACGACAATTGGACAATCTATGCTGTAAATCAGGCTACCTCACTTTCCAAGGACAATTTTTTAACCAAATCTCTGGACTAGCAATGGGTAACCCCCTCGCTCCCGACATCTCGAACATTGTTCTCAATGATCTTGACAAAACATCCATCCTTGCCACTGTTCTCAACCATGACAAACGACTCATTTCTGAAACCCTCCACATCCAGCTTCAACCAAAGACAGTGAATCTTAAATCTGACAAAAATAACTTTTCTCTAACCTATCCCAAATTCTGAATTTATTAAAACATCCATAGTTATATTCCTTTCCTTTTTGCTGACAACTCCCTTATATATATATATATATATATGCGTGTATGTATATGTATGTATGTGTGTGTATATATATATGTATATTTATGTATATATGGTATATTTTTATTTCAATCTTTCTTCCTTATTACTCAATAGTTATTTTTCTTTTGAATTTTTCTTTCACTTTCTATTAACTTTCGTTCAATATTCCATAATTTTTCTACATAATATATCTCTCGTACCTATTTAGGCTTCTAGCATTCTTCTAGTTCAAACTTCGTCAAATTTTCTATCTAACTACTCCATTCTCAATGTTTTTAATTTTACTATTTATTTTATTCTCATTTCTTATATAACTTTATATTTCTTTTTTATGTTTTTACATTTTATTCTAAGATTCCCAATGTAACACTTTTGTCACTCCCTTTTTGATTATGCCTACTTCATCATTCCACACTATGTAACAGTCTGTATTATTTATCTCTTAGTTCTTAGTCATTATTCTAACAATTTCATTTTACTTTATATCTATCTATTTTATTTTTCTTTTATTTAGATCTATTTTATCTAGATCTAATCTATTTTATTTTCTCATTTTTTATTATCTTTTTTACCATCATTACTTAAGTTTCTCATACCTTGTTATCTGGTTATTTTCTTAGCCCTGATGATGGCCTGAACTTCAGGTCGAAACGTCGGCATATGTAAAAAATAAATATTATAATTTATTTTTTGCCTTCCTTTTTTGACTGAGCACCCCAGCTATTCTTCTCTTCATTATCCACGACAGTCAACCAATTACCAATTATAAATGTAATTAAGTTATTAAAAGAGAGGCACGGTCTGAGATTCATATCTTCACAATTAGCATTAAATATTCTTGTACAGTTCATCTAAAATATTAATTAGATAAATATCATTAACAATATTATGAAAGCAATAATAATTATTGTCTCACCTTGTCCAACCATTGATAGTTGAGTGTGAAACCGATGGCGTGAGGCACATTAGAAGTATCAGTGAGGCCTTTGCTATTGAACTTCTGCTTGTAAGCACTTCCGTATGAAGTCTTATAATGTATTGTCTTGTATCTGTAATCTCGGAGCATTGTTTCCGCGGCCAGCTTGATCGGCTTCGTCTAGAATTTAAAAAAATTAAATATTAATTAATCTTTATTTTAAGAGTAAAATTTGACGAATTCTACGGTGGTTAATAAAATACAAGAAGTTGGTTTTGAAGTTGTTTCCCATTTTTACAAACTGGTACTTGTTTATTATGTTTATGTACAAATAGACACCGGTTGCCCCATCGGCACTGTTATGAACTACAAAGACAGAAAGGTGCCTACATCAAGTTTGTAGAAGCAATAAATTTACCAGTATTGGACGCGCCAGTGTTGATAAATAAAATATAAAACTTAAGACCATTTTACTTTCTAATCTCCTTTAATATCTCTTCTTAATAGCTATTCTAATGTTATTTAGAATCTTCACTTCTTGTCTATAATCTTTCCTATTACTGGTAACTTCCTCAAGTTGCAGTATTTTTCGAAAACTTTTATTATTTCTTCTTCGCGGAACCATGTTAACATAACCCTTTAAATTGATTCCTTAATTTAATCATTCCTACTCTTCGATATTTTCTTTGCCAAATGACCAACGAGTTACACGGCCCTACCACCAGGATTGGATATATGTAGAAAAAACAACTCAAACTTCTAAATGAGCAAGCTATAGATTTACGTTGTAATAACATAAGAAGTTTACGATAATACGTACTAATTAAAAAAATTATACAGGGTGATATATTATATATATATATATATATATATATATATATATTATATATTTTACCTTATTAAACCTACCAATACTTGTCCTGAATGAGGTATAGTTAAATATAGTCTAGTATAGTTAAATATGATTTATTTTTACACTTCAATAAATAAACATATCTTCGGGTAATACCCCAAAACATTATAAATATAATTTTATTTAATTTAATGTGTTTATTTAAATTTACAACTATATTAGATTAAAAATATACAACTAGTAAATTTTAATTGGTAATATCACATGAAGAAAAACTACCCATTGGTTGCACTACAATTTAAAAAAAAAACAATTTAAGTATAAAACTTGAAACTGAAACTGATCATCCTATTTATATCGAAAAATCCGGTATTCCTTAAAATTACCCTTATAATAAAAACAATTTTCTTAGAAATCGCATTTATCTTACCTGAATCTCCTCTTTCGAAAAATCTCAAGAATATTATATCAGTTGTAGTAAGTACCTTGTTATTGTTTTTATATATCAGGAAGTCTTCTCGCTTAATACTTTTAAAAATATACAAAAACTTACTTCTGTTGTGTTTTCTTTCATGAAACGAATGGGAACGGAACGGTGTCATGCACGAATGTTTGGAACATAAATCGAATGGGTTCGAAACTAAAAAAACAAACGGAATGTCTTCATGGCAACACCCACGGGCGGATCTACGGGGGAGGCTTTCGGGCTGAAGCCCCCTCCCCCCCCAAAATGGTAAAATATAACCATGTTTTATGGGAAAAAAAACTTTTAAAAATACCTCTTAAAGTAATATTGTTCGTGTAATTACATTTAAAAGAACTTAAGGAATCACTTAAACACCATTTCATATAGGTAGTTAGTTTTTTTTCTGTTTTTCCAAAGTAATCAACGTTATTTTTATGAAAAAAAAGCTTTCGGGCTGTTAGCCAACCAAAGCTTTACCCAACCAAACTGTTAGCCTGGCAATCCGCCGCGGAGTAATACTTAGCAAAGACTTGTTACAAATTATTATTTAAGTAGACAAGTCTGTTATAGTAAAGTTACCTAAACATTTTTTTTTCAACCTTGAGTAGACGTATTATTGACGATTATAATTTTTAGTTTCATCAAAAAATGTATGTGGTAATCACATTAGATAAAATCTGGTATGTCCACTCACACGACTTTCCTACCTATTTCAGAAAAGTTTTTATATCTTTACATATGTTCATGAAGAAACAAAAAAGAATTGAATTAGATACATTTTCCTAAAAATTGATCAAACATAAGATTTGCGTACGATTTATTTGATAAACTAAAGCAATGTAAACCGGCTTAAGGTAGATCAGTGTAAAAATTTCAATACTTCCTAATATTGCTGAACAAAAACTTTTTGGCATAGCTTAGTATTGACACACAATAATTTCTGTTAAAAGTATTGGAAATAGTGAAGGTTGTGTGATGCGGGCAACAGATTTTCTTACTATCACTTAGTCATCTTTATTCTCTCATTCACCTCTTTCTGGCACCAGGATATGAAACCGTAATCTTACATTGGAAATTGAATAGCTGTAACTTCGTTAATATTACCGTTAATAATTCATTACCTTTCAAACGACACGTTCAACGGCGTATTTTTCGGACTCAGGGGGCTCCGTTTAATTAATTATTTACCTTTCAAAAGTTTTATTATAAATTTTACCGAATAATATATACTTAGGGAGTTAGGCCCTGTAACATTTTACTTTTCTTTATAACTTTTTTTCCTGATTTTTTTGGGAAATTTAGTCTATATACGAAAATTGAAAGAACAAGATTAGAACATTACAAGACTACTGTCACAGGCATCAGTAGTCAAAACCCTACAAAATAAAGAAGCAACAAAATCGATTCAGTAGATCCCGAGAAAATCTTGGCACAGACAGACAGACCAATGGCTAAAAATGTGTTTTTCGGACTCAGGGGGCTCTGATTAGAACATTATAGGAAAGTTTCATAAAAATCGTTAGAGCCGTTTTTGCGCTACAGTCTATAGAAAAACATGTTTTTCATTTATTGCGCGAAAGCTATTGCGCATGGAGCACCGAATTTCTCTCACAGCCATCAGTAGTCAAAACCCTACAAAACAAAAAAAGAAGCAACAAAATCGGTTCAGTAGTTCTCGAGAAAATCTTGGCACAGACAGACAGACAGACCATTGGCTAAAAATGTGTTTTTCGGGTTCTGAAACGTATAGATCCGTCGAAAATCGCATGTCTGAAATTTGACCCGATTGCAATACTTTCCTTACCTAGTATAGGTAGGAAAGTAAAAAAGGAAGATAAACCGAAAGTATACATTAATTCTAATTTATGAAAGACTCATTCTGTTGATTGCCGGGACTATAATACTTGTATTGTTTTTCTATTTATTAACCAAACAAAAATATTGAAAACTAAATTAAATTTGCTATCCGAAAATTTCTTTGAAATGAATAAAATTTTTGGCAGCTTCACAGCGTCCCTTCACATCAAGTTAGTTTTGCCCAAAACCGGTCTTGGTCTTGCAGTTTGTAAGACCAAGACCAAAACCAAGAATCGTAAAGAAATCGTGCTGTAAATAAAAATTAAGCAAAATAGCTATTAATACTTGACAATTTTAGTTAATATATGTAAAGAATTGGTATATCCAATATACTTTTGCATTTTACTCTTCCAATTTTTCATTCGGCCTCAGTTAGGTTTCCCCTGTCTGAAAAATTATAATGATATCTCTATAGTAATAGGCTAATAGGTATAGGTAACTGCGAGACTCTTATGCAAGACCAAGACGAGTCTTGATCTCCCATTTGAGCAACACTACACCCAGGATATAAATCATATCAGCAGGTATCTTGGCCAGTGCCTGAATTTTTCTAATGTTGAATGATAATGATAGGATTCTAACACAATGTGGGCGTGGTGGCTGAACGGACTAACGCGTGTGCACAGCACCGCCGTTGCCCGGCCACCTGATATATGCCAATTGACAAAAAATAGTCACGATTCTAACATAATGAACTGGATATTGGTTAGTTTTGTGATGTTCCATGATGTGCCGAAAGTTTGTCGGTATCTTTTTCCGCAAAGATATTCAAAATATCAGTTTGTAAATTAATTTTTCAGAGCACTAATTTGAATAAAGTCTACCCATCCGAAACTAGCTAAACTAACTAAGAAATATTACAATTTGGAAACAGTTCTTTTTTGTTTTCTCTGTTTAATCAAAACGTTGTGCACTTACTTTTAGTGTAACTATTGAAGACGCGATAGCTGAGCCCGTTGGGGCATGTCTCCCGAAGTACCCTATTTTAAACTTTCTGGGTTCGATTACCACTTGTGTCAGTTAATAATTATTTCTCAGCTGCCCCTTTAAATAAATCTTGGCGCTTCCACTCTGCAAGATAGTGATTTAATTGACCAAAATAATCACAAATCCCACTTGCCGGACTAGTTCAAGTGTCAATTGAATAAAAAAATTTTATTTATAATAGAGTAACGATGAATAAGTTCTACATGGTCTTAAAAGTTCATCTTTTTAAAAAATTTAGTACTGGAAATTTATAAAGGGGATTGTCACCTATTAACAATTGTTATTGTTTTATACATGGTATTAAATTTAAATATTAAAGGTGTTACGTTTAAATTTAAGTGTTAAAGGTATTACATTTACATTTAATTATTAAAGGGATTCAATTTAATACATGGTATTGAATTGTTGTATACACGATATTATTACATACAGTACTTAAGTAAATTATTTTATTAAATATATTGATGATGTTGGTTATTATGTTGTTTTAAATAAAAGCTATATAGCATTAATAAATAAGGCTTCGCGCCCCATTTTTTTTGCCCCTAACTGCCTTCAACAAATTAGAACAAAATGAATCATCACTACAATATCCTAAAACTAATACTATATCTTTATATCGTCATTTATTCAAACATTATTTCATTAGAAAATATTAGTAACAACTCCTTTCTCTTAAATATGCCCAATGATGTACTTGCATTACCACTTGATCTGTCTGTTACGTTATATGAATTCAATTCTTCACCCCTTCTAGAAAATAACTTTTATTCATATCCTTTTGGCATTATTGTTTTGTGTCATTCTATATATCGTATATATCTTATCCTCAACAATTGTCAATGTACTTCAACAATTAAACCATTAAGGGAACAATTAGAAGACATCATGCTGCCTCAAATATGTGCTTCCGGTCTGCCGGAGGATTTCTTCAGAAGGCAGAAGCTACGATACGTAACCAACCCTACATGCCTAAATCATCATCATCCGTGTCATATATAGTCGAGTATTCATATATATTAGATGGTTATAGTCAGTAATTTTCCATCATTAGAGTGATCATTAACCACTTATTAGTGTGGTTGTAGTTCTTATAACTGTGTTAGCTTACCAATAATGTTGTTTCAAATGCCTTACATATTTCATAAGCACCAGAAACACAAACAGAAAACAAAAGACACATGAATAGGGCATTTACTCGTTTCTTTATTTTTAGAGAAATGAACAACGCTGACGTTGGGAGTCGCATTTGTCCTAATCTATTGTCATGTTAAAAAGAAACAAAAGGAAGCAAAAGAAAATGAAAGAAGGCGTAAAATTTGTCAAAGAAGGTTGATGAAATATATTTGAATCATACCAGGCACCATTGAATTCAATATCCCAACAGTAAAGACATGTGCAGAAGCTATATTAGTGCTTACACAAATAATCTTTGATTTCTCTTTAAAAACTGACAGTAGATGGATCGGTCATAAACAGAAGAACAAAAACTTTAGCCTAAAGAAACAACTCATTTACATATTTATTTTTCCATGGTTGGTAGAATGCGTAAACATACCTTAACCTTTAAATTATTTATCTGAACATTAGCCAAAGTTCAATCAGATTACAGAACATGGTGCTTTAGTACATAGGTTTTCAAAATTTTTGGCCCGCGGGCCATGGCATGTAATGAAAAAAATGGTTGTTCTGTGACACTTCTTCCTCTCCCATGGTGCTACAACTTGTGTAGAGTCTGGACCTTTTCCAATTTCAACCGCCAGTCATGTTTGAGAAGTGCAAACCTCCTTCCAATCGTGGACTCCAAGGATATCTCGGGCGTCTGCTACTTACTCCATTAAACCATCTAAATTGTGGTCTACCTACCCGTCTTGTGGAGTAATTTCGCTCTTGTTATAATATTCTCAATGTGTAATCTCCTGGCATCAGGCGAACGTGATCATCTCGTGTTAATCTGCTATTACGACATCAGTATCTTGATAAAGCGACTTCTGCACCTCGTTCGTTCGTTTTCGCCATTCCTGGTTCATATTGAGAATTGGGCCAAATATTCTTCATGAAATATGACATTCAAATCAAAAAAGGGCCATTACTTGTGCCTTGATATCGTCCAACATTTCTGGTCTAATTAAGGTGTTATATATTCCCAACTTGGTTGTGTTTGAGATCGCTCGGCTTTTAAGGTGTCTTTGAAAGCTAAAATAGGCTCTATTGAGATCACGATATTTCTTTGGAGTTCTGCATTTATGTCATTATTTATATTTACCTGAGATCCAAGGTATACAATCTCAGAGACACATTTGAAACTAAATCCACCAATTCTCTATACTAGGACCCACACCTCTTGGGTAAATGACACTTAGTTTGTGAAATGAGCTGTATTAGATAAACAACTTATGTAATAAATGTTATCGTAACTTCTTGTTACTAAATATCATTGAGTGGTTTACTAAATATCATATTTTTAAAAATTTAACAATGTAAGCGAAGAAACTTTCGAGGGCCGTAGTTTGGAGACTCCTGCTCCATATTATGACGAGGCAGGAAAATACTGATATATTTTCTAAAACTCGACTGCCAGATATCAATGTCTACTTGGATGAAGACATGAAGACATCTATATATTTTGTCTGAAATTAATTTGAAGTTAGGCGAAATACTATAGATACTCTAAAAAGATAACCAAGGAAGTAACCGTATGTGATGAGAAATTTAAAATTATTCTTGATAATTGTCAGAAGTGATATCCAAACTCTAAAAAGATGCTCCACTAGTAAAGCGTTATTGGAGTTTTTGCTGAGGAAATAAATATAATTGGTGGTCTAGTATGTAAGTTTTAGTACTCCATAAAGTCTAAGAAAGTTTTTATCGACAGTTAAAATGTCTCACATGGGTTTAGAGGGTACACTAGCAATTCTCACAGGCGTTATATACTGAACAAGTATATCTGGATGTAAAAAATTTAATTGAATCATGTGGAACATGTCTTTCGCACAAACATCAAAACTCCGTGGAACCATTGGAACATCGTTAAATTCCCACCTTACATGTGCAGCTACTTCACTGCTATTAGGTTGCAGCTTATTTTTGATCAGTGCATGTAGTCAATTGTCATTGACCATTATTCCAAGTTTATCAAAATTATTCACGTAGCTAGTATTAATATCATATCGGTAATAAATTGTTTCAAAGCAAATTTTGGCAGTTTCGGAATTCTGATCCAACTTGTTATTGATAAAGATCCGGCCTGTTCATCAACAGCATTTCAAAAAATTGTAAAAGAATTGAAGGCTCAGCGAAAATGCAGTTAAAATTGTGAATAATTCATTTAGTAAGCCCATATAGTCTAGCAGTGATTCCTATTTCGTGCTAATACACCAATGAAATGCACATAAGAGAGAAATGGCTCTGCTCAATTATTAATTTCTTACAGAAGTCTACACTTGAAAGTGATATTCAAAAAACAAAACATTTTTTACTTGCTTTTGTCGACGACATGGTGATGTTCAGAAATGACAGCCGCAAATTACAGTTTATATATTTATTTATCTGACTCCAACCTGAGCTCAAGATCATAAATACGGAAATCAACATCTCAAAAACGCAATGTATATGCGTCGAAAGGAGAGACCATGGAGATCGAATTGTCAGACTAAATTTCATCCATCTTGAGAAGAGAATGGATTTTAAATACCTGAGTGTTGGCCTCAACGAGTACGGATGGGTCGATGGAGACATTAAGGATAGGATTAAGAAGGCTGGAAGATGCTTCAACTCCAGGAACGCTTTCCTGGAGTTAAAGGAAGTTTATATGGCAAATAAGAAGGTAAAAAGGAAAATCTTGAAAAAATACATTCCACTCTATCCTAACTTATGCAAGTGAGTCTCTTGGATCCTCAGTCCAAGTTATCTACCTAAAGGAAATAAAGGGAAAAACAAGATTCCAGATCGCGTGAGGAACGCTTCTAAGAGTAAACCAGGAGAGGACACTTGCAGAGAAAATAATTGAAGAGAAACAACTCAGGTGGTTAGTATAAATCTCGCGAATGGCTGAAGACGGACCGAATCACTGGGCTAAATGAGAAAGCATTACCAGGGCCACACACAAAGTTTGAGTAGAGAGGAGGCGAACAGAGGGAAGACAAAAAAGACATGATAAGGAGCAGTAAATGAAGGCTTTAATAGGGGAGAAATAGACTGGTGGAGGAGAAGGCAGCTGGCACAGGACAGAGGTTCTTGGTTCATACTCTATAAGAAGATACCTTACACCTCTCAGCGGTGAAAGATGGCTAGATTAAGTAAGTAAGAATTTTTTACAGACTGCCCTTTTTTAATAAGATTGAGAATGTCAAATTCCATTTAATATTTAAAAAATATTTCACTATTTTACTTTATTTTTAAATCTGATTTGCTAACCTCGATGAACTCAAAAATTGGAGCGAGCGGTTTATGAGCTATGTTGGCAGAGGTCTTATAACTGCGACCAGGGAGTTCTTCCGACCTTGTCCAAGGTTTACACTCCTCGACGCCGCAGAAAGTTTTCGAATCATTACTCTTTCCAACTGCCGGTCCCCAGACCAGCTTCGGTTGAATTCCATCGTTCATTATTTCAATACAATTATTAAGACAATATCACTATTATTATTTCGATAAAAAATATATTTCGTTACAATTACAGGTGTTTCAAATAATTGAATCATAACCTAGCTTGTGGTGATTCAACAAAGGGTCTATAACAACAAGCAATTCTGGACTACTAATTGGAACAGGCCCAAAGCTAGACCAAACCTACTTAAAGGAGAGTTTACGGACGTGGGGCCTTTATGGGGGTTTACGGCCTCATGTTTATTGCTGTTCTTTGGGTTTTCACTTATATCTGGAAAACTAACTATCCATCGCATTGACAAAGACGTTTTATACAAAATTAATGCTGATAAAATTTGCAATATGCAAAATTTTTGAGAGGGGCATATTTTGATGGGTTTTTGAATTGTCGAGGGGGCAAATTTGGACGTGGTTATACACAAGTGGTAAAACATGGAACACTACAGCAAGTGTAATTGTATATGATCTACGATTTTTCTAATTATTATACCGTAGCTTGTTCTATTTTTAGGACTTTTCTTGATGAGCAATAAAATATCTTGGGAGGAGAAGAGGGGTAGGCTCTTGGGACACCGACATCGGGGGGGGGGGATGGGCACCCCTGATTAAATAAAATATAGGAGAGGGGGTAGGCTCTTGCGCCACTGACCTTGGAGGGGGGATAAGCACCCCTGATTAAATAAAATGTATCACTAAAAAAAACTCTAAACCAAGCTAGTAAATAAGGTCAAAGTTAGATTGATGTCAGTAAAACTTTGTTACTTTAGTCCCAACCATTTGCAGAATACTTAAAGGCTCTGGGTTGGTAACCACGGGCGGATCTACGGAGGGGGGGCTTTCGGGCTGAAGCCCCCCCAAAATGGTAAAATATAACCACGTTTTATCGAAAAAATATTTAAAAAGTATCTGTTAAAGTATTATTGTTCGTGTAATTACATTTAAAAGGGCTTCAGGAATCACTTAAACACCATTTCATATAGGTAGTTAATTTCTTTCTTTTTTTCCAAAGTAATTATCGTTATTTTTATGAAAAAAAAACTTTCGGGCTGAAGCCCCTCCCAAAAATAAATCCTGGATCCGCTAGTGTTGGTAACTATGCTGTTTCTTCTTTTCAAAGTGACAATTGCTTCACTCCAGGATCCAGAAGAAGTGGTAGAAGCCAATAGAATCTACACTTTCAGCACCAATGCACTTCAGACCTTCACTCTAGTGCAATAGGTATCAGCCACTATGGTGAAGACTTGTGCCAAAAACCAGGGAAATGCTACACCTCCGTTTAGTACTTGAGTTTATCAATTGAGATCAGATCAAATTTTTTGATGGGCTGAAAGTATGTATACACAACTAGAGATCAAAGCAGCAGTATACCTAGTCAGATCTACTTTTTCAACTATCATAAGATAGCCCAGAGCCAATGAGGACATTTCTTCATGCAATATACTTCTGGACTCATCTTAAAATGCCACTAGGCAATACAAGGATTTATTCAGATTGTTCGAGTATTTTTGCACAATATTATTGTATAATAAAGTTGGATTAGTGGTCATGATTGTGCACAGAAAAGTTTCATTTCAACTACCTTAGACAAAGAAAGAATGGTTATCAGTAAAAAGATTGTTCTAGGAATCTTGCTCTTTGTTGTTATTGTAGGTTTTATCACAAAACATGTTTTTTGTTTTGTTTTTTCCCATAACAGCTTAATTACATTAGAAGAAACTTGGTAAATTCATTATTAATGCACTTGATAAAATCTAAATTATAAACAGTTTGCAGGAAAAGTAATACATTGCATAGAATCAGTTTGTTTTTAAATTGAATGATGTAAATCAACTATAAGGTCTTTTTGTTTTTATAATGTTATTGTCAAATTAAACTTTTTTCAGAAGATAATGAAAAACCAACATTAAATGTATGAGTTTTCAATTATTAAACAATTAAATAGTCATTAAATTTTATGTGTTAAACAAAGGTTAATCCATTTGTTTTTTAAAGTTGCATTTTATAAATTATTCTTTCATAATTAGACATTTATTGTCATCATTAAAAGTGATTCAAATTTTCAACAAAACAATGCTTATCTTTCAAATAAGTCAAGCATGGTATTTTGATTTATTAGAAAGATTAGCTTCTCGACAATGCATGTTTTAATTGATAAATCATTTTATCTCTCTTACCTCCCCTCTACCAAAAAAAGTGCAGTTGTTGTGATATGACAAAATTATATAAAACCAAACTGAGACCAGGTGTCATAGGTATAAATAAATTGTGAAAGAAACTTACATTTCAACAGCTCTATTTTTACAAAATAATGTTCATTTATTTTCTAATGTAACATTGTTAATATACAATTTATTGTATAATTTCAACAAATGAAGATACATGGGCCAAAATGACCTATGTTGGGACCAGTAAATGCTTTATTTCTTCTAAGATAATAAAACATGAATAAACTAATCATTACAAGTCAATTTTATGTACTAAATACTGAACACAAGGTAGGTACACATTATTTTAGCAGATAACAGCGAGCGCTTTAGCTTCTTCACTAATATAACAATTTAATTCTATTTATTTCTAACCAAATAAAATAATTGCCCATAACAATACTGACACATTACTATTCCTGCCAATATATCACAAATGTGATTAATTCATTCAAATTTTAGAGTCTTTAAATTAAGACCCTTTTCTTTTTAATTTTTATTGAAGGCACACAGAAGAAGGCCATGAGAGCAACAATGTCCAGGTTCGATCCCAGCCTTTCGAATTCTCAACAGTTCTGCAAATTACACATCAGTTTTTCAATATCATGTAAATTGGCTATCTTGGTAGAAGATAAATTAGCTAAAGGTGTCCAATATTTTAATTATAAAATATGCTTATGCTCACAATAAGGATGCAAATGCAGAGACGATGTTTGAGATCTTTCAGACCGAGAAAACAATCTGTACATGCTTAAAGGCTGATGTTATGCTCAAATGGTTATATGGCCTGGCATAGATAATGTTAGCTTTTTCATCAGTATTGTATAGTAACATTTTAGTAATTTAACGACCATTCTTAACTATCCTACCCTGGAAGTCAGCTAGTAGTAAGAAAAATTTAAATAAATTCAAAAAGACTATAATGAAGATTAATTCTGAGTAACAATAAAAATATATTAACAATGAAGAAAAACAAAACGAATAAAATTTTGAGGCACACGGAACAGCTTTTTTTTTTTTTACCTGAATAAAACAATTATTACTTGTAACATACAACAGTTATTTCAAGACTAACAAATAACAAATCATTAATTGCTAAATTATCAAAACAGACAAGCCATTGACAAGTTATAATATATTAATTTAAAATATGCTTAATGTCATATAACATAATTAGTCTTTACCTTTGACCAGAGAAATATACAAACATATACTCATTATCTTGACACTCAGTCAGTATATTCTTAACAAATGTAGGAAAAATAATATTGAAAACATAAATTAAATTAAAATAAAGTTTAATTTTTAACAATGAAGAAAAAAAGCAACAACATAATACTGAAAATGTTATAATCATAAATAAAACAAATAACACATTTTTTATTATATTATAAAACCAGATTTCAATCAAACGGAGAAAATTGTGAGTCTCTTACTTACATCTATTCTATACAAAATTAAAATAGTTATTCCTATTATTTGGTCAACAATACTTTCTGTACTTTAGAAGCATTAATCCTAAAAATTTAGAACCAGATATCGTCCCTTTGAGCTTTAATCAATTTTATTAATAATTGAAGGTTGAGTAAAACCAGGAAGTGTGTCAAGCAACGGTTGTAACTCTGACATTTTTAATTTCTGTCAAAAAAGGTTTGGTGCGTTCATTTAAATAGGATTTGTCCAGCTGAGGAACAAATGTCTATCCACTGGTTTTGGAAAATTTGAATTACGAAAATAACAATAGATTAAATAAATGGGCAGTAGTTCAACCATTACTTAATGTTTATACATATCATCAGGAAAGGGAGAATTTATATTGATCCTTCTCATAGATGACTACAATAATTTGTTTGTTCACTTTAAGAATACAATTTAATATGAATCATCCACAAGAAGGATTAAAATCTTTAGTTAATTCTTACTGAACCTTTTTTAATGTCTGTTATTGAAACAACTCACCAAAAATCGAAAACAAAAATGAACGACTCCGTTTGGTAGAAATCCAGCTTGAAATTAGTAAATGACCAATAAAGAAATCTTGAATAGTTAATTATATACAAGAATAAATTAAAAATATATAACTTAAAGTTTGTAATGATCCAAGTTGTGTTACATATTGGATTATTGATTTATTTTGTAGCAGAGATGACAGTATGTGGAACTTACATTATTAAAACAATCATTTTTTTTGAAAATTAAATCACACTCCAGACATTAATATAGTAGAGTACTTGTAATGCCTTAAAATATAAAATATTTGGTTCTAACAGGAATGAGATTTCTAAAAAACCTGTACCACTGCAACCCATGAAGGGTGTAGGGAAGTGATTGGGCAGAGATCACACTCAACCACCAGTTTTTCTCGCTAAATTAATTATTTAATTAAGAGTACCCACTTTATAGAGTGTGGGTGCCCCAGGAGGGTCTCCTAACTTCTTTGTCGATCCAAGGCTGATGAAAAATTACTACTCATCAGCTGGATTCGAACAAGGGACCTTGAACTCTAGAAGTCGGTGCTCACCCACTGAGCTACCCCGCTCCCAACCACCAGAAAGAATGGGAATAATTAATTTTCATATTAAAGTGAAATTATAAAAAAATAAAAATAAATAAATGAAAAAAACTTTTAAAAAATTAGTTTCAGATCTTAATTTGATATGAAATAAAAATGATGAAAGCTCCACAAATTGACAAACTTGTTACAAACATTTGTGTAATCTAACACGCAAAAATGAAAAAAATAATACTTTCATGTCATGGTATTTTCTGTACTAATTTAAAATGTTCCCTATATTG